TGCTCATTCAAATAGTCGTACAAAGTGAAAGCTTCGATCCCTCGAAGCTAATTACTCCAGCTGAAGGATCACTACAAGGGTGGCGCAAGACTATCAAGGTGACTACTCCAAGCGGAAGGAAGATATCCATCACGACAGGGCAAGGACCGATGTTCTAAGAGTCGTTTGAGTCAGAGTCTGAGTCGAAGTCTCTCCCTCTAGAGTTTTCTATGTCTTTAGTTGTAACACCTCCCCCTCCTATTTCTTCCCCTAGGATAGTTAGTGATCCAGTCCCTGAGGACATATCACTCTTTGATATAATGATCTCAGAGTATAATAATATTTCTCATTTTCCTTACTTCTCGTGTTCTTCTCTAACCTAAGATGACGAGCATTGCTTAACTAACGATGAAAAAGACAAATAAATTATTAAAGCAATGGAAACACTCGAAAGGAAAACACCGGTAATCGAAGAAACTGGAACAGTTGATATCTCAAATGATCCAACTCATAAAATAGAAGTTAAAATCGGATTAACATTGAATTAACAAGAAAGAACCGATTTAATTAACTTACTTAAAGAATTTATCGATGTATTTGCTTGGTCATATGAAGATATTCCAGGCATTAATAGAGAAATAGCTCAACACACTATACCACTAATTCCAGGAATGAAACCTGTAAAACAAAAGTTGCGTCGAATGAAACCTGACGTAGTCCTTTACATAAATAAAGAAGTTCAAAAACAGATAACCGCTGGTTTCATCAAGGTATCCAAATACCCCGAATGGATCGCCAACGTCGTCCCAGTTCCGAAGAAAGACGGAAGGGTAAGGATGTGTGTCGACTATCGAGATCTAAATAAGGAAAGTCCAAAAGACGACTTCCCTTAGCCACACATCGATATTCTGGTAGATAACACGGCAAATCACGCGCTTCTCTCATTCATGGATGGGTACACAGGTTACAACCAGATTCTCGTGGAAGAAGAAGACATGGAGAAAACAACTTTTATAACACCATGGGGCACTTACTGCTACACGGTAATGCCATTCGGGTTGAAAAACGCGGGTGCTACTTACTAACGTGCAGCAACTGCCTTACTCCATGAAATGATGCATAAGAAGTCGAAGTATATGTCGAAGACATGATTGTAAAATCAAAATACCGTCCAGGACATTAAGTAGCCTTAAGGAAATTTTTCGAAAGGCTAAGAAAATACAATATGATGTTGAATCCATCTAAGTGTGCTTTTGGAGTCACCTCAGGCAAGCTCTTGGGTTACATCATAAGCTCTAGTGGAATAGAGGTAGACCCAACCAAGATCAAAGCAATCATGTCAATGCCACCGCCCAAGACTGAGAAACAGATTCAAGGATTTATTGGCCGGTTACAATACATAAGTAGGTTCATATCAAAACTTACGACGATATGTGAACCGATCTTCAAAAAACTCAAGAAGAATGTACCAGTAATATGGTATGACGAGTGTCAAAAAGCCTTTGAAAAGATCAAAGCCTATCTCGCAAATCCTCCCGTATTAGCACCAGCACTTCCCGGAATACCTCTCAAGTTATATTTGACGGTTACCAAAGAGACAATGGGAGCTATGCTAGCACAAGAAGTAGAAGGCAAAGAGAACGCAATCTATTACCTAAGCAAAAATATGCTCGAATACGAAGCACACTATACACCGCTCGAGAAGTTGTGCCTCGCCTTGGTGTGGGCCACAACTAAGTTAAGACATTACATGTTGGTGCATACTGTCTTCATAGTCTTCCGATTAGATCCACTCAAGTATCTATTCGAGAAATCTACACTCAATGGACGCATATAGAGATGGATAGTAAATATAGCCCAATTTGATGTAAGGTTTATGCCACAAAAAGCTATTAAAGGATCCGTGGTGTCAAACTTTCTAGCAGATTTTCCAATAAAAGACTCGACGCCAATGCAAGACAATGAATTTCCAGATGAAGGCCTAATGGTTACTGAAGATGATACTTGGACCTTATACTTCGACAGAGCCTCAAACCAAAAGGGATGTGGCGTTGGAGTGTTCGTAGTATCACCTAGAGAAGAGCATGTTCCAATCTCCATAAAGCTTAATTTCGACGTTACCAACAATGATGCTGCATATGAAGCATGCGTGGTAGGCCTTGAAACTTCTTTGGCATTGGGAGTAAAAAATTGAAGGATATTCGGAGACTCTTCTTTGATCATCAATCAGATATCTAAAAGGTGGAAAGTAAGGAGCGAAAGCCTAGCCCCTTATCAAACCTATCTGGAAACTCTTACCGATCAGTTAGACAAGATAGAATATACATATCTACCTAGAGAGGAAAATCAATTTGCTGATGCCTTGGCAAGATTAGCCTCAATGGTTAGGATTCCCACGGAAATCGAGCAAATGCCTCTAACTATAGAAAAAAAGGCACAAACCAGCATACATCCAGGCTATAGAAAACGACGAAGTAGTCCAAGGCGAAGAAGAAGAAGAAGAAGAAGAAGAAGAAGAAGAAGAAGAAGAAGAAGAAGAACCGTGGTACACGGACATACTCAATTATGTCACCAATGGAGAATACCCTCCTCATGCTGACAAAAGAGCAAAGCGAGCACTAAGGCTTTTGGCTTCCCAATATGTACTCATAGACAACGAGCTAAATAAAAGGGTACCTAAAGGTCGAGCTCTCTTATGTGTAGGAAATAAGGATGCACAAAGGGCAATAAGAATAGTCCACGAAGGAATCTGTGGCACTCATATAAACGGCAAAATTTTAGTCCAAAAGATAATGCGAGAAGGATATTATTGGACTACAATGAATAGGGATTGCCATCAATATGTAAAAAGATGCCTTTAGTGCCAAATTTATGCCAACTTACAACATGTCCCTCCATCTTTTCTCTATGCCTACGCATCGCTGCAAAGCATGTAGGACTCTTTCTCGAGTGAAATATTATTTGTCGATATGGAGTCCCACATGAAATGATAAGTGACAATGGAACTCACTTTCAAGCCGAATGTAAAGAATTGCTACAAAAATACGGCATTCAACATCATCATTCTTCCTCTTATAGACCTCAAGCAAATGGAGCAGTCGAGGCAGCTAATAAAAATTTGAAGACTATCATCGAGAAAATGATGAAAAATTATAAAGATTGGCCTGACAAACTCCACTTTGCATTGTGGGGTTACCGCACGTCAATCCGTACATCAACGGGAAATACGCCATTTTCCTTGGTATATGGAATGGATGTCGTACAACCTGTCGAATTAGAAATACCATCTCTACGCATCGGGTTAGAGAGTAAACTCGATGAAGTTGAATGGACTAGGGCAAGTTATGAAGAATTGATTCTACTCGACGAGAAACGACTAGAAGCTCTACATCACACTCAGTGTTACCAAACTCGTATGGCTAGGCATTTTAATAAGAAGGTCAAGACAATAAATATCAAAGTATGAGACTTGGTGTTAAAAGCACTAAGGAAAAATGTTTTAGATCCAAGGGGTAAATTTAGACCTAATTGGTCTGGACCCTACATTGTCAAAACAATCCTGTCAGGAGGTGCAGCAAAATTGACTGATATGGATGGCAATGAATTCTCGAACATGACAAATCTTGACCAACTTAAGAAATACTACCCATAATTACTTGAGTAGGATACTCAAGAGAGCTACGTTCGGCCTGATTCCTTTAGAAAGGATACGTAGGCAACCCTTTACGGGTGCGGCCACTTTATTTTTAGACATCTCCGCGTTCCAGAAATAATTAAAAATTCAACAGAAGATCGGTGAGTTATCGGCGTAACAGAGAAGAACCTGGCACCAGCCAACAATCATCAGTGCCAGCCGATGAAATTGGCGCCTGGCGACAGACTCCAATGATAGGCGCCAATTGCAAATACGTGGCGCCAATTTGAAAATAAATTCTGGGCGAATTTTGGTGTTTTTTTCGGAAAATTTTCGACTTCCGTACTCGAAGAATTTCTGGAAAATTAATTTTTTTCGGTTTTCATTGCTTTAATAAAATAAATTTAAAGTAAATAATTTAATTAAAAGATGAAATTTCATTAATAAAATAAAATTACATTATTGATGGAATTTAAATAAAGCTAAAATAAATTAACTTTAAATAAAAAAAAATAAACTAAGTCTAATAAATTGAAAGACAAGAAATGCTCCTAATCTTTCTTTTCCTTTCTAGCCCTTTTCCAATTTTTGTCTGCTTCCTCCTCCTCATCCATAACTTTAGCTAGTAGGCACCCTTTAGAGGACCTACATTCAAGTTTAGAGTAGACAGTCTTCCCTTCAGCTAACACTCCATGCTTCTTTTCAACCCAAGCCTTTTTATCCGTGGTGTCAACTTTCCTTTTCCCTTTATCTTTGGTATCATTTTTCTTCCTAGGCATTGCAGGTGTTTTGAATTCAATTCCTGCACCTAGGCGTTCCTTGGCATGAATCACCCAGTCACCCAGACGACTCTTCACATCAGTTTTACCCTGCTTTTTATTCGAATCCTTCGAAGGTTTCTTCAGCAACCACTTCTTTACATTATTGGGCAAGGAAGGAGAAACCTTTTGGGTAATCACTTCCCATAAAGGTCTAGCACCCCAGTAAGCATCAAATCTGTCTACTTCTTGGGAAATAGGGTACTCATAGGGAGGACGAAGATCCCCGGAAGGAATATTCTGAAGCATGTCGTATTGTCTTTTTACCTTGCAGGGGTAATAATAAGTCACACGAGACAAGCTTGGAAGACGGCAGAAAGGTTGCTTGTTAACACCAACCGTCTTTTCTATTTTCCACCACTAGTAGAATAATGCTCATTTGCGTCGCCTTATTTGCGTCACTCGTAGAAACAAATGACGCAAATGATATATTTTAGCTTCACTCTAAGTAATTTGCGTCGGACATTAACTATAAAGCGAAGCAAAAGTATGATATATTTCAGCTTACTTATATTTGCGTCGCTTTCATAAATAGAAACGACGCAAATAGTAATGTTATTTGCGTCACTCATTTATTGATAAGTGACGCAAATAACTTTGTGGGTAAATTGCGTCACTTCTTTCTTCATTGAGCGACGCAAATGACTATTACCACTACCACCCACTCAGTGCTTCCTCTCATTCAATATAAAATACTCTTGCTCCCATGTTGCCGTTCGAACTTCAAAATTAAACCCTAGCAAATTCAACTGCAAAATCCCCAAAAATTCAACATCAAAAACTCAAGAAATCCCTCCAACCAACCGATTCCCCAGCGTTGCCTTGTTGTCGTTCGTACTGCAAAACCTACCGATTTCAACAGCAAAACCCTGATAAATTCGACCCAAACCAACAAATTTGACCCCAAAATCAACAAATTCAACCACTAATTGAAAACCCCAAAATATCCAAGTTAAAACCCCCCATTTTCTAGCAAATTCGAGGCAAAACACCCCATTTTTGAGCAAAAATCGACCCAAACCACCCACGAAATTCAAACTATTAAAATCGTTGATATTCGAGATGAAATACCCTAAATCGAGGCTAGTATGGGATTGCTGCTTGTTGGTGTTGCTGTTGATGGTTAGTTGGGGCGGCATTGGCTGATTTATGCGGTGGCAGCACTATTAATTGGTGGAGATTTGGGTGCCGCTGCGGTGGTAAATTGCTGTTCAAAAGTTGTTGGAGTTCTCACTCGTTCTGCTTTGTTCTATAATTTCTCATTCGTGAGTGAGCTTTTTAATTTCTCATTTTATGTAAACCTTGACTTCAAAAAATCTATCACAATTTCACGGTATTTTGAGCAATTGTTCTTGTTTAATCGAGTGTTTGTATCTAGATATAAAGTTTGATTAGTGAATTACTTGGTGCATGTGTAGCAAGTGGCTTGTGGTCGGTAGTGAGTGTGGTGGTGTGGCTTGGTGCAGCGGGCAATTTGTTGTTGAATTGTTTGTGAATTGCAGGGGATAATGTTAAGGTTTCTCTCTTATATTCAGAGTAACTCTAATGTTATTGTTATTCGATGAATTTTCTTGTTTAATTGTTCTATAATTTGAGATGTTATAGTTAATTTCTTACTTTATTTCTCTCATATTAAAGGTAAATTAACATTACAATTGAAGTGGCATAATCTAATTCTTCATTAATTACCGAATATCGGTTCCACAATCTAGAGTTTCATTATACACTCTTGCTAATCTAAATTTCAGTATACTCAACTTGTGGCATTTCTAAGGTGGATTTTGAACTACATTTATGATTTCACTAGCTTTATAGTTAAATATATATTTTCGTTAGATTCTATGTATTCTTTGATGTTGTAATAAAGCTATATTTTTTCAATACATGTATTGGGTTATGAAAGTGTATGACATAAAGTTCTTGAAGAATAAGGTTACAGTACTTACATATAGCATAGGCTTGATTACATTAGTTAATTGATTTTCGTGTGGTGAAATACTTGGTGCAAGTGCAGCTGATGGTTGGTGGTTAGTGGCGATGGTGTGGCTTTGGTGCAGCGGCAATTTGTTGCAGAGAGATTTTTTGTTTTTGAGTAGTTTGTAAATTGCAGGGGAGAAGGTAAAGGTTTCTCTCTCACAGTCACATATACATATTAACTCTAATCTTTTTGTATTTCATTGAATTTTCTAGTTTGATTGTTATATAATATCAGGTATCAGTTGGATCAATAATCTGCTTATTGCATTTCTCTAGCTAGTTCAATCTCACAAATAAGAGCCATAATTTCTGCCACAAAATAATTACATGACTTACTATTTGCAGAAAAAGCCGAGACATAGTTCCTAAATCCTAAATTTCACATTAGCATGTTTATATAAGACTAAGTTTCAACATTATTTATCACCTGAGATAATTGTTTGTTTTTCTAGGGGTTGGGGGAAACTGATAATAATTCTTGAAGCAGTTAATTTGATTAGAATGGGATCTTGGCAATATTTGATCATTTACAAAAGTTTTAAAAGAAGTTTAAGCCTCCAAGACAGAGTTTGTCTCCATGCAAACAAATTCATCATAGTTCAAAAAACAATGGAGATTGTGAAAGTGTATGACTTGAAGTTCTCGAAGAATAAGGTACAGTGAATATTTTGTTGCATGTATAGTGATAAATAAAAAACAATGGAGTGAAATAAATTCATAACTAAGATGTATTTTTTCTTAAAATATGGTGAGAATGATTAGTATTCTTATTTTTCATGCTTGAGTTTGTATCTCTTCTGAAATAAGTTGTATTAGTATGTCAAACTTACTTTGTTGCCATGATGCGTGTAGTGACATAAAAAAATTGGGAGGATGTGAGATATGGATACTATGTCATGTGCTATACGTTTGAAATAGTTCAACATCATCGTAATATAATGAGGACCTTATTATAGTATGTGTTGTCACATTTTTCATTACTAATTCAATATATTTTAGATTTGCTACACTCTTGAAATGATTATTTTTTTTGTTTTGTGTTGTGTTAACAGGTTTATTTAGAACAATACCTTATACAGGGGAGGAGATAAATGTGGTTCAAGATATTTGGTCAGACAATTTTATGAGCAATGTTGAAATTTAGAATTTAACTTAGCTAACTCCATTTATTTGTTAGACTTTTTTTGTTTAGTTCTTAGGCTTGAAATGAATGTAATTCTGTTAACAATTTTTTGGGTTGGTCTTTGTTCTTGTGTTGGTTAATGATACCAATCATTTTGAGTTGTAAACTTTTTGATAGGATATTAGTGTATACATTGACGTCATTCCCAAATTTATGGTAGGTCAAAATACGAAGGAAAATCTGTCGAAAATATATACTTGATTTGATTAACTTATCATAATCTAATTGTCTTACATTATGAAATTACAATATATTGATGGAAAAGTATAATAATGTTTTTTAATAGATTTGAAAAAAAAAAGAAATCATTTGCATCAGTGGTTGAATAAATCCTCAACCAATCATTTGCATCACTCATTTATAAAATAAGTGATGCAAATAACTATATTTTATACATCAGTTGAGTCATTTGCATCACTCGTTTAACAAAGGAGTGACGCAAATAACTCTATATTATACATCAGTTAAGTCATTTGCGTCACTCCTTTAACAAACGCGTGACGCAAATAACTCTATATTATAACAATAGTTAAGTCATTTGTGTCACTCCTGTAACAAACGAATGACGCAAATAACTCTATATTATAACAATAGTTAAGTCATTTGCGTCATTCGTAGGAGCGACGCAAATGACTCAAAAGTCATTTGCGTCGCGAGCAGTTGCGTCGCTCATAGAAGCGACGCAAATACACCCTAAATGAGCGACGCAAATGAATGTTTTTGTACTAGTGCACCATGGGACGACCCACTTGATAGCAAAATCACGTGATTCGAAGAATTTTCTCCACCCATGGTGCCCAATCTTAGGGAAGCGTTTCTTTCTCCTCACGTAGCAATTGGAGTATACTTCTCAATATCGTCAGGAGGGCTAATTAATCCTAGCCTTTCCATTAGCCACATCTGTAAAAAAAAATTACAATGCAATTAAATTATTATTCCAATACAAAAAATATATTTTTTGATTTCTGTAATTAAAAATATTAATTTTCTACCTGTAATAAAATTGGAGAGCCGCGAAAAGGTGCTTTTGGGTCCCTTTTCAGTTCATCTAGACTAATCATAGTCTCTCCAACAATCAATGGCATTGGATTTCTCCCTGATTCAATTTTTTCTAGTACAGTGGTTATAATTGATTGCCCTTCATTATTTTTACCACTACTAAGAAAAAATTGATTAAGCATGCAAAATAGGAACGTCCTTCTTCTATATATACGAAAAGATTCAGAAAGAGGTTTATCAAAATAATGACGTGCAAATTCTTTCAAATTAACTATGTTGCCATCTACTATTTTTGATAAATCCCTTTCTTTTAAATTAAAGAAGCGCTCAAAATCCTTATAATAGTATGCATCTACTCTAGGGATTAATACGAGGTCTATTGCAGGGAAGCCTAAAATAGCACCAAAATCCTCTGGCAAAGCTAATCTCATCATACCCTATTCTGAAACAATGAGTATCAACATTCCAAAATTCTAGAGCGGTATGTATGAAATCTAAGTCAAGATCTACCCCTTTGATGGCATAAATTCCCCCCAAGTGAAATAAATCTAATTCTTTTTCTGTCTCTAGCATTAAGAGATCGACACCATTCATGAGTGTATTGCGTGAAGGTTTTGGTGACTAAAGACATGGTTATTATTTTTTTCTAAAGCAAAGAATTAATTTATTCGCTGGAATTATGAGAAGAATCAGCTAGGCAGGGGGCTATTTATACACGAATTGCGAGAAGTTTTAATCAGAATGAAATACGGCATCAGCGTCAATTAGCGTCAAAACCCCATAATTGGCACCAGCTGTCAGCGCTTGGCGACACACGCCAAGTGTAGCACTTGGCGCACGCGCCATTTTGTGGCCGCCAGCTGGCGCCAGGTTGCCATATCAGACGCGCGTGTTTAATTTGCGTTTTTAATATTAAACTCGAGTCGGCTAATAACTTTATGACTCTGTTTATCTTTCCTAAACATCTTTTTTTTCCTTTTTCTTAATTAATTAAAATAGCTATTATTTATAATTATATTATTCTTTTTTAGACTTTATTTAAATTAAATTCCAAACACCCGACATTTTGTTTGACTTTCCCTTTTTATTTTTTCTTTTTTGGGGAGAGAGTCGGATACCTCCATCAATAATAAAAATGACGGAATTTTTGCGCAAAATTGTTTGTCACACTTCTCTGCACACACTAACATACACATAATAATAACAAACAAATAAACTCATAATAGAATAAATATACAAATTATGTCTAAAAATAGTGAGTCTAAGGCAAAGTTCTATGAAAAGTCAAAATAAAATATACACAGGAACAAACTACGGCGCCGGAGGACGTATGCCCATCATATCATAAAATTGCGCCGTACGAGGAGTCACCTCTCCACCAGCTCCAGCTCCAGCTCCAACTCCAGTCTTTGTAGGAGGAGGAAGACTCAATGTAGGTCCACTCCACCCAGGATCAACCTAAGGATGAGGCTGCGGAGGCTGCTGCGATGACAAACCTACCTCGTACATCCCACCACCTCTGAAAGCCGAGGTAGCCTCTCCTACCGGTGCAGCATGAGCACCCTCAGAAGAAGATCTCGAGCCCTCTGCAACGTCAGCACGAGCAGCCTCAGAGCGACCACCTCTACCCCTGATGAAGTACGACGACGTCTCGAGCTAGACCTCGCCGGATCCACCGCCCCTCAGGTCTCGTGCGAGTGTGAGAAGCAATAGGCTGGCCCTGCAAAAAGAATTAAATCAGAAACAAGGCAAAATTGAAGTGGTAACGCAAAAAAATATATATAAGAAAAGCTACCTCTCGGATGACGTCATCCCGACGGCAAGTGGCCGCATTCCTCATCCGGACGAGCTGGCTCCGAAGGCATCTATACATCGTGCCATCGCCGAAACCACCTCGCATGAAAACTGTCAGAAAATAAGTTAGTAAATATGCATGATGTATGAACACAAAATTGTGAATATCTAGGCTTACTCGAGTCTGGTGGCGAGGAATCGACCGCTCTACAAAGCGCTCGCCCTCGGGAGCCGGAGGAATCATCTCCTCAATCGGCCCATACATCCCCTGGTAAAGGATGACATACGAGGTGCACGAACTCAGAAGCACCGTCCTGATAAAGAAAAAGTCAGTAAATCATTTACTTGGGGGTTGTTTAATGGAAAGTAAAAGAAGAAAAAATCTTACCCTCACATCCTCAGCCGGTACGGGGCTGGAGCCAACAAAGGTAGTAACTCCTCATCATAGCACCGCCCGAGGATCACATAGGACCGCCAAGGGGTACCAACTCCCTCAAACATGCTGGATAACCGCGCGTCATCGAACAAATGATGTGGTGGAGGAGTAGGAACGACGAAGAAATCAGAGGAATGCTATCTAGAAACCCTCTCTTCTAAGTACGCGATCGCTCCATAAGTCCCCAAGAAATAGAGACACTCAGCAGAATACTGTGCGGCTAATCCAGGGACTATCCAACCACCCCACGGCCGGTATACCACCTCAGGCCCCTACAAAGAACATCAATCAGGCGAGAGTATACCTAAAACATCGTAAAAAGGAAAATAAACAATAAAAATGGTACCCCAATGATCCAGTTCCGGACGTGTGTAGTAGACACATCCACATGGCGGCCGCCCCAAGAGGCGCTCACTGGAA